AATGATAATAATAATAATTATAGTAATAATAATACTAATACTAATACTACTACTACTACTACTACTACTACTACTACTACTACTAATAATAATAATAATAATAACAATAATAGTAATGGATTGCATTTATATAGCACATATCCACTTTTGCAATACTCTATGCGCTTAACCAGTTGTGTTTGTGTAATTCCCTTCGCCCTACAATATAAAATATTAATGCAATTATTACAACAACTTGTATCATTATTGGGCTTCCCTGTAAAGTGTGTCTTGGCTGTCAGTGAGGGTCGTGGTCACGTGACTGTGACGTGACAGGACTGTAATCAGACCTGCCGTGACCAAAGGTCGTAAAGCTGCTCACGACCCATCAGTGGGGATGACTTTTTCACCAGACGAAAAAAAGAATGGTGAGGCAGCGTGGTGAAATCAGGCGCTGGTATGTCAAAATAATCAAACTGAAGAAGAAACTAACATTTTCCCGTAGGTTTGTGAATTATTATTGAATTTTTGTTTTTAGGTTCAACACCTTTCATGCCCATTAAAGGACACATTTCTGTGTGGATTTTACTTTAAAAAACTTTGATAAAAGACACACAAAATGTAATTTTTCAGTTTCCCGGACTCTCGAGCTAAGGAAATAACTCATCTTTGGCGGCCACTTTCTCACTAATTTTACCTCTAAAACCATGTGACCCCCACCTCCTTTATTTACAAATATCTCGACTTGTATTCAAGATAAACGGATATTTCTTTCATCAAAGCAAGACAAATGAAGACACTTTTGTTAAGATGATGTCAATAACTCTTCAAGCCCAAAAATTGACGAGAGTCTGATTCAACCGCATCGTGAAAGAATTGGTTTGTGGTGGAGTCTCTTCCTAGTGCGGCAGTCGAGGAGTGGAGGGGATGATGGGGGATAAGTCTTTTCTATTTGGCCTATTGGCTGGATTCCGTTGTCGACCGGGTGTACTTTCTCTTACTCTTTCTCTCTTTCTCTGTCTCTGTATCTCTATTTCTTTCTCTCTCTTTCTCTGTGTCTTCGTCTCTCTCTCTCTCTCTCTCTCTCTCTCTCTCTCTCTCTCTCTCTCTCTCTCTCTCTCTCTCTCTCTCTCTCTCACACACACACACAAACACACACATGCACACATATCAACACACACAC